ACGCTGATAACGTCCCAAAACGACATTTTTTGATTTGATCAAGAAATCCGGCAAAAACCTTGTTTTCGAAAATCTCTTGTTTCTCTCCTAATTTAACTCTTTTCACGCGGTTTTTTCGTGCATTCTATAGATCTTGCTTCTGTTCATAATGCAGAAACCACCCAGCCCTTACCTCTTCGATTATGGTGAAATTTTTTGCAAAAAATCGTAAAAAGTGCGTTTTTCTCTACCTTAATCTGTTTCAGTGCTTTCGCAGCGATTTTTTTCCGGCCTGGGCGAATGTTGCTCAGAACAATAAGCGCAACAATCCAGACAACGTCCCAGGAAACAGGAATGTCAATGTGGGGGTAAAAATTCAAAGGACGCATCAAAAATCAAAACCCCGTGTTGCGAATTGCTGGTCCTGGAGCGAAAACTTGCACTCTGAAAAACCGCCAATGAAAAATTTCAAACCTTATTGCAGCGTTTTTATCCGGTTTTCAGCAGTTTATTTTGCTTTTTGTATCTGTTCTACGTCATTTTCTCTTCTCTGATCTTCTTTAAACAACGTTTACTATTTATGACGTCAGATGTTCAAACAACCTTCACTTTTGGGGCCCTGTCTCTAGACTTGCGAAGGTATGGTCGTGTGTAAACTGTCAATGTCTTTCGAAGGATTTGACCTAGGAGTTCAATCGCGTTGACTTAAAACTACCAGAGCAGCGGTCATCGGGAGAGCTCAGGATATTCGAAGGAATCTTGACAGCGAATATACCGCAAATGGTGTCGGCCGAGTTTATATTAGCCACCGAGCAAACAACGAGCACAGAACAAGTAAAGGTCTTAGTAAAACAAGGTAGCTTCTCACCACGCCAAACAACTGCTGTTCGGTGTACTGCGGAGACACTCATCAATTTTTCGTTCTTACCGGTGGTAAAAGTAGGAAGATGCTTAAAAGTAACGACGCTCTAGCATAGTTCGTAACCTTACCAGAAAACAGTTTGATGAATACGCGCTAGACTATTTTCCCAGTGAACAAATTCTAGGTAGGTGCGAATTTTGCGTGGCCGGAAGTATCGCGGATCGCGATGCAACTGAGCAATATAATGCATGAGAGTTGCACGGGATGACCCCTCAATACCAGACGAGACGTTCACGGATCGCAATGCTTGTGCTAAATAAAAAAGCTAGTTGCGAAATGCCAAAGAATGAATCCACGATGCCAGATGCGACATTCCCTTCGACAAAAAGACCTCGGTCCACAGACAAAAACCATTGCAGCTGCAGAAGGAACGGTGGAGCCAGAAACCGAACGTCTATATATACTTAATCATTATTACTCATGTATTTTTCATCACTTACTCTCATTGTTTGTGTTGCCTTACCATTCGCTCATTCCCTGTACGTAGGATACCACATTTAACACTCCTATCGTATGTTTTCTAATCTCCTCTTGTATATTTCTTACAAGTAGTCCAAATTCACAAGATATCCAAGATATCATTTTGGTTTGACTTATCGTCATCATAGTTTCAACTATTTGTTAGAGATTTTGTCACTTTTTCATGTTGATGCTTCGTTGTTTATGTGTGTATATTTCAAGCAGAATGAGGGCTTGATTACCCAAGTTTGAGGAAATCGGCAATAAACGTCTGTCGTTCGTGTGGTGGTTGGTGTGGTTCAATTGGCAAAGTTGTGGAACCTTTTTACCTTGCACATCACTATGGCACTTTTCCCCAACAGAAGGAGTACTAAGGAGCACTCGTAAATCTAGGGTAAATCGAACTCTCTTTCTTCAACAGAATTTATACCATTTTGGGGAACATTTAAACTTGATCCTTAAAGGCACCGTCCACCCTAAGTTGAGGGTGTTGATTTTGGCAGCACATTATAGTAGGGCCCCCTATCAATCCAATGCCCAAGTCGCGGCGCAAAGTGCCGCTTCGGAAGCGAGAAAATCGTTTCGGAATAGCGCAGATGCACGAGGACCCCCATCCATGCCCGCCCTCCCCCATCCATGCCCGCCCACTTGTGCGCGCCCATCCAATAACCGTTTCGGAAATCCGGTCTGTGGATTCTCCGGAACGGGATTGTCGGAGTTTTCGCGCATTCTCGACTTCATATTCGGAATCAGGGACATGAGAAGGCCCTGAGACGACGAAAATGTGGAAGCCGAAAATCTGGGTAGACGGTGCCTTTAACCTGTTTTCGATATAACATGATGAATTGTTCGACTCTCTATGAACCTCGGCATGGCGTAGATATTGTAGTTGTTTATATAAGCCGCACTCGATATTGGTAACAATATTTATTGGGTGGCTGACGTTTCGGCAGACCGCCTTCTTCAGAGCCTGGAATGGACAAAACGATCTGCAACCTATCCGATCAAACGTCTCTGCCAGCTCCACAAGCAAAGTTCTAAGACTCTGCCTGTTCTCTGACTAGACTGCCAAACCAAACGCTTACCTTTTTGAAAATGCCGATAGCATACAAGTGCTTGAGCGAGCGCTAATGAATGACCATGTATGTCACGCTATTTATATGCCTACAGTGAGTCAAAGAGGTGACCCAGGTAAGGTGCGAGTTCACGAGTGATAGAGAGGCACTCCTCCTTGCGATTCATTTGTGGATTTTTTGCGTGAATCCAAAAGGCTTCCAAACATTTGCGGGCTGATGTTTGGGATTCATGCGCCAAGATCTTCACTGAAACTTCAAAGTTTTCTCCAGCGTGCTTCACCAGCCTGTGAGTGCCTAGAGGTGTGGTCGTGCGTGATCTATCCCTGCCGTCTAAATGCTCTCTGATGCGGACGCATAAAGGGCGCGCCGTTTCACCGATGTACATGTCGCCGCAGCCCGCGCAGGTGATAAGGTAGATGACCCCTGACGTCATGCAATCCCCGCCCCTGCCCGCAGGGCAGATAGTGCAATTAGGCGTTGTGCAGGTGCGATCGTAGATGCGATTGCGGACCTAAATACCTTTTAGGTTATTTGGGGGTATCTCCACCATCGCAGCAGAGTTTTCTAACCCGCATCTCCTCAGACTCCTCAGTGCCTTAAGGCAATGATAACTTCATCAGAGATATAGGGAACGCTGAAGGGGATTTTATCAGTTATATTAGGTCTATCTACTTGAGCATCAGCTCCACGCCGCCTTGCCCTGCCAGCATGATATTCATAGCCGTTAGAAGCCGCTATTCTACGAGCCAGCGCAAGAGATTCTGCCCTTTCCTGCTGTCCGCTGCAAACGCGAGAGGCTGGACGAAACATACTTTTTATTACAGCTCTCTTCATATGTGGGATGAGCTGAGCGGAAGTGTACCAAGATGTTTTTGTTACTAGGTTTCCGATACCATTTTCTTACGTGTACACCTGAGGCGATATTGACCTGCACGTTCAAAAATGGTAGCCATTGCTCGCTGGGCTTTTCCCTCGTGAGCTCGATGTATGCAGATTGCTCGTTGAGTATCTTGAAACAACTGTCAATCTCTGCCTGAGTCGAACAGATTATGAAACAGTCGTCAATGTATCTGCAATATAGCAACGAACGGCATTCTAGGACTGGAGCCTCGATCTTGGCCATGAAGGCCACTGCAAGTGTGAGAGCTAACCTTTGTCCCATGGCTAACCCTCTAATCTGCGCAAAGTACCTCCCAGACCATCGGTGAAACGGCGCGCCCTTTATGCGTCCGCATCAGAGAGCATTTAGACGGCAGGGATAGATCACGCACGACCACACCTCTAGGCACCCACAGGCTGGTGAAGCACGCTGGAGAAATTGAAGTTTCAGTAAGATCTTGGCGCATGAATCCCAAACATCAACCTGCAAATGTTTGGAAGCCTTTTGGATTCACACAAAAAATCCACAAATGAATCGCAAGGAGGAGTGCCTCTCTATCACTCGTGAACTCGCACCTTACCTGGGTCACCTCTTTGACTCACTGTAGGCATATAAATAGCGTGACATACATGGTCATTCATTAGCGCTCGCTCAGGCACTTGTATGCTATCGGCATTTTCAAAAAGGTAAGCGTTTGGTTTGGCACTCTAGTCAGTGAACAGGCAGAGTCTTACAACTTTGCTTGTGGAGCTGGCAGAGACGTTTGATCGGATAGGTTGCAGATCGTTTGTCCATTCCAGGCTCTGAAGAAGGCGATCTGCCGAAACGTCAGCCACCCAATAAATATTGTTACCAATCTCGAGTGCGGCTTATATAAACAACTACGATATAACATGAGTTGCTCTGAACGACGAGTTATGAGCGTTTGGTCGATAAGTTGCTTGCGCAATAGAACAAGAATTATTTTGAATTGTCTATGGACCATTGCTGGATATGAGGGTTTTTGTGTAATCGACTTCCTGTTCAATATGTCCCAAAACAATGTGTTGAACGTTTGATCTATAATAACTTCTTCACATAAAAAGCTTTCGCCTTCCTTTGAAAACTATATTGTAGAGCTAGCTCCAACGTAGGTTTTTGTTTTTTAGTGTAGAACACCCTAGGAACTTCACGTCTACAAGAAGAAGAAGCTTTGTTCAAAAAGTTTTTGAAAATCAAACGTCATTTTACATTTTTTGGAACAACATGTACACTGTTTTTCACCAAAGTTTCATCCAAGTGCTGAGGCGAGAGTGACGAAAATTCAAATTCTATTCTGTTTCGGCCCAAAAGATGCTCAAAACTCGTCTTTCAGAGCCGCAAAACAGATTTAAAAGTCGTTCGGACAGCCCACATAGACTAAGAGCACATTCTTTTTTCAGCCTCGTGACTTTGCTCAGTTGATCATTTTGGTTCGAAGGGGCAAGGATGGCAGATGTCAAGCTGGTCGTTCTGGGAGAAAACAAAGAGTACAGGGTAGCCGGGCATAGTAGATTGCTCAAGCCTTTAATATTTGAGTCTTTGTTGCTGGCAAGGGTGTAAATAGCGCGGATTGTTTGGTTTTTAGGTCAGGCTTATTTGACTCAAGCGCTCACGTAAAATGCTTGAAAGGCCAGTATCCTTTTACTTTATCTCTACAAATTACCTTGTGACGCTCCTTGTCCAAATCTCTTATACCAGGATACACCTGCTCGAAGGCCTTCTCACCATTTACGTAGCAGCGGATATAGAATGCATCACCGTTGGCAAGAAATCGTTTGTTTTGAGGAGCCTAAATTTGAAACGTAGCTGCACATACTGGCTTGTTTTGCTTATAAAAGATGTTACCTCTACAACTGCGACTTCTCTAAACTCGTCCTTTCCTCTGTTTGTTCTGTTATTCCTCAACGCTCCTTCCACAAAAACAACCTTAATATGAAATTTTCACTGGTGAAGAAGTTAGTACTCGGAGTATCTCACTTTACAAGTCACGTTTGTGGTTTTGTTAGGATAATTCGTGAAGTGTGGATGAACATACATGTATCCTTCACTGTCCATAGTGGCAAAATCGTAATTCTCGTACGGGCACTGCAGCTGTCGCAGACGTTCCGCAACTTGGTAGTGCTCAAAAAATTGGTAACACATGCGTGGAAAAGAACGTGTCTAAATGTTTTAGCAGTACCCATTCAAACTCTACTGATTTGTATAGTTTACTTTGATAATTTCCCATATCAATTCATAGCCATGGAGGTAAAAGTTTAGGTCGTAGTATTCCAGTATATTCGTGAACTCAAACATAAGACTTGCATGGTTTTGAAATACATAAGACTTCTATGGTTTTCGGGTTTTGAAGTATTCCTTTGATTTCATGGGTCACATTATTGAACAGCACTCGGGCTAGTAAGAGGGTCTGCTAAAACATCTTGCAAAATCATGTACCAAATTCGTGGTTATCTTAGCCCGTCATAAACCCTATCGTCATCACAGCTTGGCCGGGTCTAACAAGTAACTTGTAAGTTGCACTTACAAACCTCAGCGCAGTTTTAATATAGTCATCCTCACCCCACTAGTCGGTCGGTGGTCGAATTTGAATTCGAATTGGAGCAGGCTGACCCCGGCAGAGCGCGGCGGACGCCGCCCCTTAGCCAACCGCTTGCACATGAGCTTTTCTCTTATTTTCCTCGTGTTTCTTTGCTATTTTTCGTATTGCCAATGTTCTTTATCAGACTTTCAGATTTCGCACCGCTAACTATTGTTTTGTGCAGTTGTACTCGTTTGTTTTACATTTTTCCCATGTAAACCGAAAAGAAGGATGCGATTGGAGATTTTTGGATGAGAAAACTCTTTTTTCCGGTAAGTGACATATACACAAATGTGATTTGATGAAATGTGTAAGTTTTTCTTTTTGCGGTAAGGCTGAAATCTTTCAAAAAGTGTATGTTTTAAAGAGTTAGCGCTAGAAATCTGAAAGTCTGATCAAGAACATTGCCGCAATACGAGAGATAGCAAAGAAACACGAAGAAAATAAGAAGAAAGCTCGTGCAAGCGGTTGGCTAAAGGGCGGCGTCTGCCGCGCTCTGCCGCGGTCAGCCTGCTCCAGTTCGATTTCAAATTCGACCACCGACCGACTAGTGGGGTGAGGACGACTATAGTGCCATTGACGTCCATGCTGGCCGTTCAGACATCTACCTCATCTTTGGCTGGGCAAATCGCTTTCCAAGCAAGGGACCACTGCTTGGAATCGGTTTTTGACGTTATTATTGCTTTGATGGCGGCAGCCTCGATAACGGCCATTTTAAAAAAAATTAATCGATATCGCTATCAACGGTTTTGCCTAGCATACGGGGAGATAAAACGTTGATATAAATACCCATGAAAAGCACAACTGTTGAATACAAATATAGGATAATTTCCATTCTTTATATTCTAAGCAGATCAATTTGAGCATTTTCTGCAAAAAGGAAAAAAGAAAATCACTCCTATATCCGTGGTTACAATCCGGTGTTCGTCGATCCCTTTTATCCACTGGCCGGAATTGCGCAGTTTTGCGCATCTGCCGTCCGTGTCATTACGTCAGTTTAAGTGTCTCATAAGTTATTCACGAGCAACTTAGGCGATTCTTCTCAGATTCTCCGCTCTTGCACAAGAGCTTTTGCTACCTTTATCAGTTCAACTTACGATCTACGTTCCAACTCAAGGGGCAACCGTTAGAGGATATCCGTCGACGACCGCCCGTTTCCTGCATTGACGGGTGTGGTGCGGCAGGCGACAATCCCCAATTTTGTGCCTTTCAAAAACTCTCCTGTGTCAAAGTGACACCCCGGGGGACTACGGGGTGGGGAGTGGGGGCAGATACATTACTCAATGCCACAAGTTGAAATCCGTGAAAGTCATTGAGACGGATGATACACAAGCTCCATTTTTCGCCGATTGTCGCCTTCCGCGTGCCCCCCTGCATTGACACCACTGCTGGCGCGCATTTTTGGAGCCATTCCAGCTTTACAGTGCCTGCAGCGCGCGAGGACTTTTCAGTTCGCAGCAGCCTGGTCATTCTCGCCTCAAACACTTACTGGTTTTCCGTTTCTTTCGGTTCACTCGAAGACCGAACATCCTACGAGTTCTAAATTGAAAAATACTGAAAGGCCAGGAACGGATTTCTGACATGTTTCCTAATTTCTTCCCTTTTCTACCGAAGAATGATTTCAGAATCACGAACTATCGCCCCGGGCAAAGTTAGGAAAAAGAGTGAGTTTTTGTATGCAGCTGCGGCTATCATGGCGTTCTCTTGGGTAAGACTACTCAAATGTTTAATTCTGCAGTCTACATCACGTCCCGATGTAAGCGTGTTGAAATCGCCATTTCAGCAGTCTGCCCTAAGAAAAGTGGCAAATCATATGATGACACTGAAACATGCATTCCCTGTCATAGCCATAATATCCACCAGTACTTCAAAGAAACTCATTCTTCTTCTCAATTCCGCCCGAGTCGACGGTCTTACATGGAGACGAGTATGAGTAAGTGCTGTGATGAAGAAAGAAAAGAAGAAAACGAAGAAAAGACTATTTGAAATGATTAAACAACAGGAGAGATTATAGGTTAGGGATGTTGCGAGATGAAAAGCCCCTACGTGTTACAGGCACTGTAAAGCTGGAAAGGCTCCAGAAAAGCACGTATTGTGAATGAAAAGGGGCGATCGTCGACGAATATCCTTTTGACCGCGGCGATCGAACGGTATTTGATAGTCGTACTTGCCATCTCAAAGGCAGTGGCTCGGCAGGATAACAAAATTAGGATATTGATCGTTCTCGATATCCCTGGACGAGCAAGTCCAAGACTGTGCTTTGCAGCTTCAAAGCATATCAATGACCCGCTTTTCCAGAAGTGAGTGCTATTCAGGTGGACGGCGTATGCCTGCCCTCGAACGCGATTGGCATAAAACATTCGAATATATTCGTATTCGAAATTCGATATTCGGAGTTCTTTCATTTTCGAATAATATTCGAAACTCGAATAATTGAGAAAACGGAGTTTCGAATAAAATTCGAAAACTCGAATAATCAAAAAACGAGGATTCGAATATTATTCGAAAACTCGAATAATCAAGAAACGGGGTTTCGAATGTTTTATTCGAATGTTTATTCGAATATTTATTCGAATTCGTATTCGAATGAACTTCGTATTCAGATTATTCGACTTTGTTGCAGAGCAAACTGCCGAGTATCAAGCTCACTTCGTCCGGGTGGAGGACTATATGTCGCAGAAAAAGGGCGGTCCCCGCGGTCATTTGCGACAAATACGCATCCTTGTACATGCGCGGACATGCGTTCCTGCAAGGAATCCGCGCGGGACTCCTCCAAATTCGGCGACATATAGTCCTCCACCCACTTCGCCCGCGTTTTTTTCGCAAAATTCGGTAATGCATCTTTTTGCATTCGTGATGACTTTTGGACTGTATGGAATGTCGCATTCCTTCGACTGCTTGCGACAGTAGAAAAATAGGTGTGGGTTTTAATTGATGATTTTTCAGTCAATGAGATAGTTCACCCTGCTATTGACACCAAAATAGCAAAGAAGCTATCAAATTCAAGCTCATGTTCCGAGTTCGTATATTGAAAGTGCTTTGAAATGCCTATTTTTCTTTCTTTGCACTGCTCATGCTTGTGGTACGCAAAGCCCACACTAGTGAGCATTCTTGCTCGCATAAGTTACATTGCACAACGGCCTCTATTCGCTACTTTAGAGATTTTTTGCGAATTGATGTATTTTGAGTAAACGACATCGCAGTTGTAGTGGTGGATTAGGCGGTTTAGATCGCCGTACGCGATTTGCCAGTTATGAAATGTCTTCAAATGTAACGCCAGCATACCACAAATGTTTAGCTTGTACAACTTACTAAAAAGATGAATACCTTGCATTCTGTACTTTAGAATAACTTTTGGACAATTTGTCTATAGCCAAACCACGTCGCCACTGAAATGCCTGCAGTATGCCCGGGGCTATAGGGGCATTCGTGCTCGCTTCGCGGAATAAACCACATGCCTTCGTCCACGGCTGGCTTATACCACATAAGACGAAAGTCTCCGATGAACAGGCAATGTATCGTAGCATTTGTGGCATTCAAGTACATATTTGGCCACCGTTACTGCTTTGAAAGATCGCACACCTAGCGCTATGAAGCCGATCAGGTCGTTAGGTGCTTACACCGAGTTGCAGTGTTTCTCATTTTAGATTTCAGCTCCAGCCAATGTCATCTGTTATTCTGCTAAACGTCTTTGAAATCTAGTGGAAGCCTGACAAATAAGGTCTGCTGTCGTAAAGCCGCAGGATCAAGCGTATAAATGCGGTTCCTACCCGCACGGTGCATAACGCAAGGATCACGAGGTGCAGCCGCTTACACGACGCTCGCGACCGCTTGAAGATGGCTGGTGCCTTCGTTCGGCAGTAGACTCCTGGCTATAAGTCTCAGAGAATGCCAAATGAAACGAGTTGTTTTAGCTGCGGGGCCGGGAGTTGGTACAAGGAGTAAGTGAGGGTGCTGATTATGGACAAAAATTTACTTTACCGATTTTATCGATTTTTAGAGAAGTTTGAGCTGCGGGGCTGGGTGTTGGAACAAGGGGGCAAGTGAGGGTGCTGATCATGAATAAAAATTTACTTTATCGACTTTGTCGATTTTTGGAGAACCTTGAGCTACGGGGCTGGGAGTTGGTACAGGGGGTAAATGAAGATGCTGATTAAAACCAAAATCTATTTTATCAATTTCAGCGATTTTTAGAAAATTTCGAGCTAGGAGTTGGTATAGGGGATACGAGGGTGCTGATTATGAATGGATCGGCTTTAGCCAGATATGTCGGCAAGCTTGAGATATGGTTGCTCTACTTATTCGATAAATCATTCGAGTATTTATTCGATGTTCGACTTCCAATGTTCGAATATATTCGATATTCGTTCATTCGATATTTTTGATTTTCCGATATTCGGAATTCATTCATTCGAGAATTTTTGAATGTCGAATTTATTCGATATGCGTTTATTCGAGATTTTTTATTTTCGAATTTATTCGATATTCGTTTATTCGAAATTTTTCCTTTTCAAATTTATTCGATATTCATCCATTCGATGAA